ACCAGCTTTTCATAAAACAGAATTTCAAATATAAAAATCCCAATAAAGTTTTAAATAGATTTTCTGGCATCTCAGTCCCCCCGAGCTTTTTGAAATCGTTTATATCCAACATCAGAAATAGAGTGTAGAAAACGAAACTGCAGTTTGAATTTCCACAAGGAAACATGTTGGAGCAAAATCACTGAACTGTTTTCAGACTGTGTTACTTGAAATTCAGTAGAATCTAATCTGATGTGAAAGTGAAATGCCTCGAGCCAGGTGAGTCAATCTGAACTCCTTATCATTGTGCTGATCACCGCAGGAGAAAACAGCATTTCATGTCAAAGGTTTTTTTGGGCAAAATTCACTTTTTTAGCTGTTAAATACATTTTGTTGTGTATTTGGAGTCTCTGGGAGGCAGAAAAGTTGAATTTAAGAAAGATATATTTTGGGTCATATTTTTCAGCCTTTTCCATTATGTTTTTCTGAACCATCACATCAAATTATCTGCGATGAAATGACTATAAGGTCTGGACTTACCAACTATTTCCTCGTCTTCGTTCTCTGGTTCTGGGTCAGACTCTTCAAACATGTAATGTTGGATGGACCAGTCTTCTGTTGTTGACATCTTTCAGTATTATTGTGAATAAAATGTTTCTGAAAGCTAGAAATCTCCCTCTCAAACCGGAGTGGACCGGTCTGGAAGCTGGAGGGGGGGCGGGGCTTGAAGTGTCTCAAAGGAACAGTAACAAAATGAGCTGCTATGAGACACACAGCAGAAAACGGGTGAAAGGGGCTGGAAATTTTAGAATAAGGAGGAATTCAGATCAAAGCTTTTCCTCTTTATAAAGATCCAACTGAATGATTTAAATGTAAAAGGAAGGATTTAAAACCAGGATATGTCCACTTTAAGGGATTTCCCAAAGTTATCCAATCTGTTTAATATATTTTCCCTTCAATATTCTTGAACTGCACAAAAGAGAGCATTTTTTGCCAATATTTATCCCTTTATGGAAATGAGGGTCAGCTCCTCCCCTTGCTGCCTTCTTTATTTCCCTTAATAAGCAGTGACCCAGCTGTCACTTCCATCAGGTCTGAGTTTGTGTGCAGTGATCTTTACCTCCCACCCTCARGTGCAGACATGAAGGTGCATAAATTAGTCTTGTTGCCTAGCTGAATAACATCAAAACAATGTCTGCAGGGGACTTTTCATTTAAAAGAGAAAAAAAGCACAACGTGTGTGAGGTTAAGCTGCAAAAATCAGGCCACGGAGTGTGTGGAGGTTGAAGGTGCAGAGGCAGAGAGCTCCTCGTYGCAGGGAGAAAATATGACCTGAGGGACTTCTGTCAGCACCCCTGAGATCACATGTGACAGAGGAGGGTGACCGTCTAATAAATCTCCATCTTTATTGCTCTGTTCTCCCTCGCTTTCATCTGTCCCTCTTGCTCAACGCGCCATCCTCTGAATGAGATAAAAATAAATCATGTTTGCTGTCTGCAGGCCTCCACTCTTGTCTTTGCTGTGAAGGTTACATGGAAGTAAGATTTCTGCTCCAAATTTAGATTTTTGTAATAAAAGCAGCCCCTTTTTGAAAAGCGATCTCCCTTTCCTCATTGTGTGACTGTTGCATATTTTTATTAAAGCCAAAGACAGGCCAAGAATGTCTCACTGGCCTCCAGAAAGTCTCAAGAAAAGCAAGCGATTGTGACCACCAGATGTCCCCGTAAACCTCTCCAGTATTCAGATTTAAACTGCAAAAAGATAAATGTTTCTTTAATTTACTATTTACTATTATTTCTGTATGAAAAACTGTGTCCATTCACATTATATGCAGGCTAAAACAGAACTCCAACTGAACCACTGCAGGTTGCTTAGATAAAACTTAAAATTGAGAAAATGAAGTTAATTTGTGACCAAGTGCAGTAGTTTAAATAACTGCTAAAATATCAAATATTTTGCTGAATGACCCGGAGTGGGAAGAAAAGGCTTTCCCATTGCGTGTGTAAGGATACTGTTTGTGACACAATATTACATGTTATTAAAGGATTCAGTTCACGCCCTTTTTACAAAGCTGCAGGGCGCCTTCAGGTGCACCTCGGAAATTACTAATGTGGTTGTCTCATTGATGAAAATTATAAAATGTAATTCTGTTCATTTTTTAAACTCATAATCCTTTTTGTGTTTGTTTTATAACACCTTTGTCATTTTGTATAACAGCTGAGTAAATTAGTTTTTTTATTTTGGTTCCTTTCTCTTGGTGTTTTAGTTGTAAATAAAATCCAACATTTACTCTCTTTGTAGTCATGAATTGGTGAATTGCACACTGTCTTTCTAAATCTTTCTAATATGCTCCTTTATTACAAATGATGTTCCTGAATTACGTGCATTTATTTGCTCCTTTTTAGCAGCCCATTTCATCCTTTTGCTTGAGTTTATTTTAATTTCTGTTGTGTTTGTTTGTCAACTCTGTTGTAAAATCAAAAACATAAAAAATGCAGAGGTCTATAAAGTAGTTAAAAATAACTAAGTAAAAGTAAAGTTACATGAACAGAAAACGACTTTGGTAAAACTAAATTTCACTGATAAGAAACCTACTCGAGTAAAAGTAATAAAACTGTTCACAAAAATTGGGAAATTAAAAGTAAAAGTACTTTTACACACTCTAAGAAATAAACTGTTGAATTTACTGAGCCAAACTGGTTCCACTAAGTCAGGTTGAGTAAATTGAGCAATATACAGTATTTATATTCTTTGCTCAATTTACTCAGCTAGGCTTAGTGGAGCCAGTTGACATGACTTTGTTGAATAAATTCAACACTTCATTTTTTTAGAGCAGAAACATCTTTCATGATGAGTTCCATTATATGTAATTTTGTAACAATTACCTAGGTGTTACATTTTAAAGTAAAGAAGTAAAAGTATCATCTTTGGCTTTAAAATGTAACAAAATAAAAGTAAAATTAGCTATTTAAAAAAACTGGTAAAATTACAAATCCTCAAAAAATTACTTAAGTACTGTAACAAAGTAAATGTACTTAGTTACTA